TTTGTTTCGTTCTTTGTCGTCAAGTGATTAGTCATCTTATGCAAACTTCATACGAGAATGTTTATCTTCATTTAACCTTCCATTCTTATCTAATTTCAATTGAATTTTACTCTTCTAAAGCATCAATCATGAAGAAAATTTTGTATTTACACTGCTCAAAGGAGTTGTTAGATTATTCAACAGGTGCTTGATCACAGTCAGATGGCAAAGAAAGAGAGATTGTAATCCGTCCACGAATTTGCAGGTAAGGTCTTTTGTTTAAAGTAATTTATTTTGGTGGCCATGTAAAAATAAAGGAATCTATTTCTTTGTATATATGTAACATTTAAAATAAATTTCGGCTCCTTTCTCCAATGAAAAAAACAATCGCAGAATCAAGAACACCACCAAGAATGAGTAAGGATCTGGCACTACGGCGATTGAAGGAGCTTTCAAGTTAGCCAAGAAAGCGTACAATCTTACTCATACGGAGAAGAGAAAGACAGTGATTCATCCCATTGCGAATTTTCAGAAGAAACCATCATCTTTCTTTGATCACTATTGTTCTAAGAGTGGGCAGATCATCAATTTGTTTCCTCTTCACGCTCCAACCCTGTGAGGAAAAATCTTGAACCAAAAATCTGATGCGTTTCAGATCGTTTAAGTTTTATAAAGAATTCTAATGTCAGATCTTTGTAACATTTTCTTCTCTTCTCTTGTATTGAACTCCGTTTCTAATGTTTTTCTTATTTTGTAGGGAACAAAGCTGAATTCAAACACAAGAGTTTCAAAGATCAAAATGAATGGCCGTAAAAGCTTCCTGATTTTGCTTCCTTGATGTGGAAAGAGGATTTGTTACATGAGGTTGGTTTTCGAGTGCACAATGTTGGTTAACAGATGTTTGGTTTTTCTCTGTTTTAGCATATTTTCTATTTCATTATAGTCGTTTGTGACTGACCTAGGAGACTCTTGTACAAGTTGTTGTCGCCGATTCAGTCTTTGAAGTTTAATAACAGAGAGTTCTTTCAATTCCCTAGCTTTGAATTTTAGTTAAGTGCTCGACCTTGCTCGTCTCCAAAACAGAGTTAAACAAAGTTTAACAACATGACAAGAGTTTCTGTTAGGGACAAACGCATAAGAGAAAGCTCGAGAATCAGAGTGTGTAGACAAAGTCTTACCAACCAAATCTTTGGTGCATACATTCACTTGATTGATACTAGAATCTTGGTTATACCATTTCCTTTGTTCAACACAAATTGTTTTAATTGCATTTAGGAGTGACTGGTAAATTGGTTTTAATAGCTCTGAG